ATCATCATCATCATCATCATCATCATCATCATCATCATCATCATCATCACACACTTTCCCCTCTATGCTGAGTACCCTCTGGCAATGCCCCTTTTAAGATTTCTTTCATATATTCACTTCCCCCATTAGACTGTAAGCTCCTTGAAGGCAGAGGCTGTCTTTCTTTGTCTTATTTGTATCCCTAGAGCTTAGCACAGTGCTTGGTACATAGTTATTAATAATATGTTAATTAATTATATGTTACTTAATGTTATTTTATTTTATAATTATATGTTAAATAATTAATGTTAATAATTTTATGTTAATTGATTAATGTTAATTAATAATATGTCTTAATAAATGGTTATCATATCATACCATATACAAGTTACTTAACCTGAGTCTCAATTTCTTTATTTGTAAAAATGGAGAGAATATCTATAGTGCCTACCTCACAGGATCATTATGAGGCTTAAATTAGGTAATGTATAAAGCATTTTGCAAAGCTATATAACATGCTATAGAAATGTTGACTATTACTTCCAGGATGGTTACCTAGGATGTGACAGAGAACCTTCTACGACTTCTCAAATCTGATGACTACAAGCCACTTCTGGTAATTTGGCTGGGACAAAAGATACTGCTAGGAGGATACTGAAGATTATGAGAACTCATTTTCTCACTCATGATCTTTCTTGACTTTCTGCAACATGACACTATTGATCACCTTCTCCTTTTAGATATTTTCTCTTTTCAAGGGTTTCACAACACCACTATCTCCTGGCTCTTCTCTTTGTAGATTGCTACTTGGTTTCTTTTGCTGGTTCTTCTGTGGGTGCCTCCAATGTTCTGTCCTGGATCCCCTTCTCTTTTCATTTTATGTCATCCCACTTGGCAAGCTCATTAGTTTCTATGGGTTTAATTATCTCTGAAAATTATTCCCAGATCTACATATATAGTTTTAGTTTCTCTGCTGAGCTAATTACATACCTCCAATTGCCTCTTCTCCTTGTTCAGTTGTTTTTCAGTTGTGCCTGACTCTTTGTGACCCATTTAGGATTTTCTTGGCAAAGATACTGGAGTGGTTTGTGTTTTCATTCTACAATTCATTTTATAAATGAGGAACTGAGGCAAACAGGGTTAAATGACTTGCCCAGGGTCACCTAGATAGTAAGTTTCAGGCCAGACTTGAACTCAGAAAGATGAGTTTTCCTGATTTCAGGCCTAGCACTCTATCCATTATGCCACTTAGTTGCCCAATTGCCTCTTGGACATCCCAAAATGGACGTTCCATAGAGTTCTCAATCTGTCCAAAACAGATTTCATATCTCCATCCCCAAACCTCCTCCCTTCTGAATTTTATCATCACTGTTGAGGGAATTAACACCTCCCAGGCACCAAAGGCCACAAGCTCAGTATCAACGTTGATTCCTCCCTCTTACTCACCCCACATATTCAATTTACTGCCAAATCTTGTCCTTTCTACTATCATATCTCTCATATGTATTCTCCACTCATATAGCCACAACTCTAGTACAAGCCCTCATCATCTCTCACCTGGACTACTGCAATAGCCTTTTAACTGGTCCCCCTGGCTAAAGATTCTCCCCACTCTAAACTACACACTGTTCAGCTGCCCAGATAATTTTTCCAAGGCATAGACTTGCCTACATCATTCCATCTGTTTGAGGAGTCCCATTGTCTCCCTATTACTTTGAGGACCAAATATATAGTCCTTTGAGATTTAAAGCTCTTTATGACCTGGATCCTTCTTACCTTTCCAATCTTCTCACCTCTTACCTCCCCTCCACATGAACCCTATGGCTTACTTGATATCCCTCAGACACAATGTTCCATCTCCTGTCTCTGTTACCTCCACGCCCAGAAAGCTTTGCTCTGTCACCTTTGCCTCTTAGTTTTCTTAGATTCTTTCAAGAATGCTCAAGTCCAACCTTCTGCCTGGTCCCCTCAGCCACTAAGTTTTCTCCCTTTTAAGCTACTTTCATATACTCTGTATGTATCTATACATTTTCATGTTGTCTCCTTCATTACAACCCACTTAACAACAAGGATTAGAGGTTTTTTTGGCCTTCAGTGCTTAATAAATGCTTATCGAATTGTGCAAGGAACTGAAGACTCTAAGAATACAGCTGCTAGTTTAACTATTGCTATCCATTGATAGAAGGCAAGGGCTTCAGAAGAGAAAGTAAGATTTGGAAAGTGAAGAGCTATGAACAGGATTTGGGATGCACGGATCAAAATATAGGAATGATGAGCTCCTGGCCTTGGATTGGGAGCACCTACCAAGGACTGGGAAGTATGTGTCTGCTAGAGTCTTATAGATCTCTCAAAAAGGTATTTAAATAGAAATGGAAAAGGGGAGAGAGAGAAAAAGGCTATGTTTATTCACAAATGTACCATAAAGAATAAATACAATCTAACAACAGGGTAGAGATGTAATTTATAGGAGACATAACCCAAGAAGGGAGCCAGGGATAAAATTAATATGAAGTAGAGGTAATAAGAAAGGAGAGCTAGGGATTCAAACACGAGGAGAAACATTTGACCTTATAGGTATCACTGGGGCAAACAGGACTCATAAAGGGGAATGATGCTCTGGAAGGTTATTTCCAGAGCCATAGTTAATAGCTTTTCTGTGTGGTCATAAAAGGGGTTTGGGTGAAAAAACCAAACTAGCGTGGTGGGTCAGTGGATAGAGTGATGGATCTGGAGTAGGGAAAACTCAAGTTCAAATCTGGCCCCAGATACTTATTAGCTATATGACCCTTAACCTGTCTGCCTCAGTTTATCTGTAAGATGGGGATAATAACAGCACCTACCTCTCAGGATTACTCTGACAATCAAATGAGATACATGTAAACTGTTCTGCAAACCTTAAAGCTCTATATAAATGCTAATGACTATTGTTATACAACTGAGGCTGTCAGGTCAAGACTTACTTATGATGGAGGAGCTACTAAAGGTTATTTTAACTAGTTATTCTTGTTAATTAGTTAAAAGCTGTTGTTTCTATGTTGCCGAAGTACTGCAAGTGCTCTGGACACAGAGTCATAACTCTCATAACAGAGTCTAATACAGAACTAGGCTGGGGCAGCTGAGAATTTGACCCAGAGCTCTGAAATTTAGAGACTTACAACAGCACTAAACAACTGAATTTAGCAAAAAGTGGGGAGCAGTATTGTAAATTAAGAATATGTATATATTCATGTGAAGGCATTTAGTAACCAGAAGGGTGAAGCATGGTGGAAAGTAACAGTAAAATTCAATGGAGGGATAAATAGAAGCCACCTTGTTACCAGACCAGAAAAAAGATAAGAAATTAGAATCCTGGCATGGAGGGATGATATAGTAGTGATGGGGGATACTTCAAAGATTTAGATACCTATTGGATTTATTTCTTCATAAAGCACAGCAGCAAATATTTTTTTTAAAATTTCACTTAATGATTATTTCGTCCTTCAAAAGGTAGAGAACTAAGGAGGGAAACTGCTCTTCTGGCCTTGATTTTCACCTAAAATTGAAGAACTGGTTGTTCCTGGGGTGGAAATGATTGGCGCCTAGTGGAGAAGTGGTCATTTCACCTACATAATTGAATGGAAAGTTGAGTATAGTCAAACACACAAAATTTTGAGAAGACTTCAAAGGACGGACAGGAACTCTTGATAATATGTTATTTGAAAGAAAGTTTTATTGATGACTTTTTGTTTTTTACATAAGTAATTTCCTGACATACCACAAACAGTTACATAAAATTGATTGACAAAATCATTTCTGGCACCACTCTCTGAGAGATATGAAACATACTTCATCATTAATGATGATTATCATAGGTTCTGTCAGAAAGTACTCTTTTAACTTATCTATCATTGCTCAGTACCTTAAAAAGATCTTTTTGCAGTTACTTTGTAAAAAAAAAATTATTGGGACTAATGGAACAAAAGTATCAGATAAAAAATTGTCAAAAAACACTGTGATTTGTCATGTGTAATATTGAACACAATGATCTTTTAAGGCCTCTTTCAGTTCTAAATCCATGATCTCTGTAGGGCTGCTTAAGAATTGAAGCAGAAGGAAAGATCTGATTGTAGCCCGGTTAAAAATAAGTGTACAATTTGCATGGAGTATTCACAGGCTGGATTATGAAGATTATTTATCTTTAATTGTGTTAATATGGGAATGTAGTTTTAAAAGTCCATCAGTCATATCAACATATAATTTTTAGGCCAATGGGAGGCAACTTTCAACATAAAGGTTACCAGGGAGCACCTGATGTATTAGAGATTCTTTCTCTTTTTTCCTCCCTCTTTTTCACTTTGCCCTTCTTTCCTCCTTCTTCCACTCCCTTTTTTGATCCTATTTTCCCCTTCCTTCTTTGCTGTGCCTTCAATCTTCCATGAGCACACAGAGAAGCTTAGCTCCCCTCACAGTAAGCACAACTCTAGAGCTTATTTTAAGTTCTGTTGCTTCAAAGAGAAAACATGTCCATGGAAAGTGAAAATTTCTATCATATATGAGAATACTTTCCCTGACTACTCCCAATTTACAATGAACTTTCCCTTCTCAGAATTCATGTTAACACTTAAGATAAATTCCAGATAACACATCACTTAATTATATATACTCACCTAATTGTTGTTTTGTTAGTATTAGATTCCTCCTGTCCTTCAACTAAATTGTATGCTTCTTGAGAGCAGAAGTCATGCCTTTTACTTTAATTCTATCTCCCATGACATACAGCACAATTCTGGACATGTAGTAGGCGTGATTGATAGATGACTTTAGCATCACACTCACAAATAATTCTTTACTAATCTTGCTTTTTAAAACTTTCTACTCACATTTTCATGCCATTTACACTTGACCTTAGAGTCAATACTTTCACTTTTCAGATAAATTCCTATTTGTTATTGCTTTCAAACACTTCTCAGCAACAGAGTGTTATAGGATACAGGGTTTGGCTAGGATTCAAGTGGATGTGGGTTTAAAATCTGCTTCTGGCACTTAGTAGCTGGGTGATCCTAGGCAAGTCACTTTATCTAACTTGCCTCAAGCAGCTCCCTAGGATTTACTAAGTTATACTTGACTGTAAATCACAGATCATTCCCACATTGTTATAAACACTTCTGAAGGTGATCAAGAACATTTGGAATTATCACTCTTTTGCTCTACCACTACAGAGGAAGCAGTGGCTAAGCCCGTCTGTCCAGATGTTTCACCACACAGAAATGACACACAGGAGGAAAGGGGCTTTTAATGTGAAGTTTAATTTGAAATCTCACCCCAAATCCAAAAGGATAAACTAGTCACTTCCTTTCATTTTTTGTCATATCTTGCTTGCTTAAAAAAAAGAAAAAAACTATTTTTGTACACTTTTACTTAATGGCGATGGCTGACAAATTATAACAGAGAAGACACTATATAAATATAATGGTATTTTTAAGTGAACGCTATCTTTCCTAAATAAATTTTTTTGACTTGGCTGATAGGCAATAGAATTAAACAGATATATTTCTTTTTGCTCAATTTCCAAGTTTTAAAATGTTTTCTTCATCTGTAAAAAGGTTTCTGCTCCATCCCAGCAGCATTACGGTGTCATCTGGGCCATCTAGAACACAAACAATCAACACGAAATAAGAAGCACTAGAATTTTAAACCAAAGAATGCATGTGAAGGGGTGTGTGTGTGTGTGTGTGTGTGTGTGTGTGTGTGTGTGTGCGTGTGTGTGTGTGTGTGTGTGTGTGTGTGTGTATGTGTGTGTGTGTCTGTTTGGGTTTTGGAGGAGGGTCAGGACCTCCCAACAGTTAAAGTCTCAAACAGACAATTATGTGCTTGTAGTAAAGTCCCTGGGAAGAGCAGGAATCTATGTTAATACTGAGTAAAACAGTGAGATAACAAATAGTTCAGCAAAGTATTGGGCTGTTGAATGAAAGAATGCGTAATTAACAACAACAACAACAATAATAATGTAGTATTTAAAAATTTGCAAAGTGCTTTACATACATTATCCTCAAAACAAGCCTATGAGATGGGCACTACAGGCATTATTTCCCCCATTTTCCAAACAAGGAAACTGCAGTTGAGGGGATGGCAAGGGGAGGAATGGAATGGGCTAACTCACCTTCATGTTTTTAATGATCCCTTTTTAAATTATTATGAACTTAACAGTGATTGGTAAAACAAACATTGCAATATACAAAGAAAAAGAGGACTGTATGTTAATCATGAACCTGTTACATATAATTTGTTCTTTAAAAGAGGTTTCATTCAGTCATGTCTGAATGTGTGTGATCCCATGGACCATACTGTCTATGAGGTTTTCTTGGCAAAGACACTGGAAGGGTTTGATATTTCCTTCTCCAGTGGATTAAGGGAAACAGAGGTTAAGTGACTTGCTCAAGATTACACAGCAAGTAAGCATCTGAGGCTGGATTTGAACTCAGGCTTTCCTGACTCCAGGCCCAGTGCTCCATCCACTGAGCCACCTAGCTGCCTCTTAAAAAAAGTGTACTGTATGTTTAATTTAACAAGGCAGCAACACAATTGCTCTTTGTGTCCCTTTCTTTTTTTGTCTAGGAATTTTAAAAATTTTATTTATTTTTAATTTATGCATTTCCGTAACACAGTATAATTTTAAAAAAGATGACTGCATGTGACACTGCAAATCTATTATGCACAACTTGCTATTCCTTTTAAAGATATCATAAAGTCATCATGTACATTTTTAAACATTTTATCGTTGCTCTTTTCTTTCTTTGGTTCTTCTCCCTTCTCCTCTTCATATACTCCCCCGGAAAGGAGTCCAGGAAAGCAAATAGACCTATTGGTCTGCCTGATGCTGCTCCTCCTCCTCCTGGCTTTCACTTTTCTGCCAAGAGATAGGAGGCACCCTTCATCATCAGTCTTCCAAAGTCATGACTGGTCACTATGTTGATCAGGTTCTGAAAGTTCTTTCAAAATTGTTTATTAATGCCAGAATCTGAGTGCCTTCTAAATTATCCAAAGAAATATTATCTTATATTCAGTATAATTTTAGTGGAAAGTATATTCTATCCCATTTGAAGTTTTTGAATTGATGTGTGTATATAAGGTAACTCAATTGGTTCTACATATTTAGGACCTTATTAAGAGAGGCTTTAGGAATTATGAAGGAGAAGCAGCATAAAGAATGTCATTAAAGAAATGAAGAAAAAGAAAAAAGAAAAAGGAGATGGGCTTGCTCAAGACAGGTGAGAGTGAGGGATAACTACTAGAGATTCACTGGTATCCTTGTGATGTCAGGAGAACCCAAGGAAGGCTCTCAATCCCCCTGCAATGGTGAACTTATTAGAAGACATGGCCAAGAGTCACCAGGATGGGTAGGCACGCATGGGTTACAATCTGCACCATTGGTGGTGGTGGTGGTGGTAAATATCTACCCTGATGAAACCACAAAGCATTTGGGTAGCTGAAGGACTTACAAGCCAGAAGGCACCTCAGAGATTATGTCCAACATCCTTATCTCTGAGATAAGTGAGCTGCTCAAGGTCACAAAGAGAGTTAACTGCAGAACTAGAGCAAGAGCCTACGTTTAGAGACTCTGAGTCCAGTGCTCTTTCTATTGTCCTCAGCTGTCTCTTTGATTAATGAGAACACCAACTTTCCTGATCAGTTAATAAAGCCTGTGAAGCACTGGGATTGTGTTAGAACAGTTATGCCAATGAAATGGTCCATTTAATAATAAGCCTGTGTTAACTGAGCATACGTTATTATTTGCAGCATAGGACTTAGAGACTATGATTATCTAGAAAGATGAATTTAGAGAAATTAATATGGGTGGTATTTTTAAAGAGCATGAAATGGTTAGGTGTACAACAACAACATATAAATGGAAACTCTAGAAAATAAACTTATGGAGGCATTAGAAATTTCAAATGAACAGTAAATGAACATGGAGGCAACCAAGACATTTATAACAAAGAATGATCAGAAACGTAAGGGGGAATGACCAAGTTCCAAAACGTACTATTTCCATAGGATTTATGTGACCCATATGAAAGTAGTTAGGTATGCAAATATTCTTAAGAAAAGGAATTATAGGAAGTGTATAATCAGGATATTTCATACTTTGAAAATAGAAAGGTATTAAAATATCTGGGGAATATACTGTTTTAAAAATGAAAGATGGGATTTGAATACAAGCTGAAGCCTGAAGCTATACATACTTGGGTTTATTAAATGCAGAGACACAAATGGGTTTATTTTTAAAGCTAGAAACAACTGGAAAGGAACTTCTTTTTTTGAAGGATAAGGAATATTTCTTCACAAGTCAAAGCCAAAGGACAAAAAAACATTTGTATGAGTCTTTCAAACTGCCAGGCAATTCAGAAAACCATAGCATATTAGAGCTGAGGGAACCTTAGATACCATTTATATTCCCACTGTTTATCTCCCCTCCCCCACTTTACAAATGAGGAAACAGTCCAGTTAATTGACTCACCCAAGTTCACAGAACTTGTGAGAAGCAACTCCTAGGCTAGTATTTTTTTTCCCCAAAACCAATATTCTACTTCTCCTTTCCCCTGTTGTTTAGACCTTTTTTGGACTTGATATTGTGACTCTGAAACATTTTCAATGAAAAGGGTAAAGGATTATTATCTTTAAAAAGAGTATTTTAAAAATACTAAACTCAATTAACACAAAAATGCCATGAATATTTCCACATAGAAAGAGAATTGTGTATAAAACCATGAATCTCCATTCCATACTCCGTTTTTTTTAAGTGTATAATAAATCTAACATATTACTTTCTTTTTTAAAATTAAAATTGATTTTATTTTTAGTTTTAGATTCTCTCCCTCTCCTACACATTGAGAAGGCAAGAAATACAAAACCCATTCCAAACATGAAATCATGTAAAACAAACTTCTACTTAGCCATGACCTGAAAAAAGAAAAAAAGAATGAGAAAGAGAGAGAGGGAAAACGAACAAATATGCTTCAATCTGTACTCTGAGTTCATCAGTTCTCTATCTGGAAGTAGAAAACATTTTTCATCATGAGTCCTTTGGAACTGCGGTGGGTCATTATGTTGATCAGAGTTACCAGATCTTTCAGAGTTAATTATCTTTACAATATTGCTGTTACTGTGAAAATTGTTCTCCTGGTTCTGCTCACTTCACTTTCCATCAGTTCATAGAAAACCCTCTACTTCATCATTTCTTGCAGCACAATAGTATTCCATTAATTGATAACCATAATTCATAACCATAACTTATTGATAGGTATTCCCTCAGTTTCCAATTCTTTGCCACCACAAAAAGAGTTGCTTTAAATATTTTTGTATATATCTCTTTGGGGTATAGACCTAGCAGCAATATTGCTGAGTCAAAGGATATGCAGAGTTTAATAGCCTTTTGGGCAGTTTCAACTGCTTTCAGGAATGGCTGGACTAGTTCACAACAATGCATCAGAGTACCTATTTTCCCACATTCCCTCCAGCATGTGTCATTTTCTTTTTCTGTTACTTTAGGTAATCTGATGGGTGTGAGTGGTACTTCAGAGTTGTTATAATTTGCATTTCTCTAAATATTAGTGATTTAGAACATTTTTTTCTATTGATAGTCTTGATCTGACTACTGGTAGTTTTGATTTCTTCCTCTGGAAACTGCCTGTTCATATCCCTTCATCATTTATCAGTTGGAGAATGGCTCTTATTCATACAAATTTGGTTCAGTTCCCTACACATTTGAGAAATGAGGCCTTTATCAGAGGAATATGCTGCAGAGATTGTTTCCCAGCAATGAGTTACTTTTAAAGTTGTATTACTTGTCTGTGCTTCCTTTTGAACTTTTCTTCTGTGCATTAAAAAAAGTTTAAATAGAACACTCCTTTTTTGGGGACATCACCATTGCTAGCCTTTATCTCTCTCCTACTCTCATAGTTCCTCCTAAAGCCCACCGCCAATCAAAACAAACAGACAAATCCTTTTAACAAAAAAGGCCTGGTCAAACAAAACAAATCCTTGGCCATGGCTGAAAATCTCTGTGTCTTCTCGCAACGTGAGTTTATGATTTCTTTGTGAGGAGGTGGGGAACATGCTTCATCATAGGTCTCTTGTAGTTATTGCTTTGGTCAGAGTCTTAAGTTTTTCAATGTTATTCTTCTTTACAATCTTGTAATTTTCTCTGGATTCTACTCACTTCACCCTGAAGGTCATAAAATCTTCATCTCTTCCAAGAATTCTGGTTGAATTTTTGCCTGACCTGTGTTTTACTTCTGAAGTTTTGCTTGTAGATATTTTGGAGTCATTCCCTTTGTATCTTGAGTGTTCCTGTTACCATAATAGGTTTTTATGGGAGGAGTCTTTTTTTTTTTTTTTGGCTTATTTTTCTTGCCTAATTCCTAACTTCAGACTTGGCATTAGGGCCAGGCTCTGCATACTTCTGCTGGGAATGTCTGGACGGGTTTAGTCACTGTTTCTTTTGGGGTACTGAGTATTGTGATTGTTCCAGGATATCAGAGACATCTCAGGTTGGGGACCTGCAAGCTCTGAAAGCTCCCAAAGAGGTCTGATCCAGGGCAAAGTCTGATTGCTGCCCCCCTGGTTTCAGCTATACAAATTCCCTGTCCTGTTCCTGACCAAAAGGCCTGTAGGGTTGCCCCTTGTTGGAATTCCAATAGATGGCTGCTGGACCCAGCTGGAAAGCTCTGCTGGTGATAGAACAGTATTAGGCTTCCCTTGGATCTGGGGTTCTTGACTTGGTTATTTTTCTGTACCCTTCAGAATGGTTGAGAAGCTGGAAGTGAGACCCCATCCTGCTTCACACAGATGCTGCTTATTTCTCAACTTGCTTCTCAATGCTCCTTGCTGGGTAAACAGCTGACGGCCTGTAACCACTTTCAATCCTGGAGTACCACCCTTAGGGGCAGGTTTCCTCCTCCGTCTTCTCTGGATCTGGGACTTGGAATCAGTTAGTGAGCAACAATTGGTTTCTGTTCTTGCACCCTCCACAAACTGAGGCTTCTCTAGGCGGAATCTGGGACCTCTTCTTGCTCTGCTGCATACAGGACCTCTTTCTGGTCTAGAATGCTCCACGTGACACACTCCTGGCTGGACCCTGTCCCCAGAGTCCACAGACCTCTTTGTCTATTTGGACCTGGGCTAGAAAAATAACTCACTGTGATGTTTTTCTTGGATTTCCCAATTAAGACTCTGTCTGGCATATTTTCTAGCTCTGTTTGGACGAGTTGCGGGCATGTGTGTATGTGTGTGTGTGTGTGTGTGTGTGTGTGTGTGTGTGTGTGGGGAGGTTAGGATAGGTCGCTGTTCTGTTTCCTGCTTCATCTTGGCTTCATCTCCTAACAGCTTTATAAATTAGGATTTCTACTACTATCTCTCAACAGCTTCTTTACCAATTTTCTATCTGAACTACTTTATGCCTAACTATGCATCACAGAACCAAAATTTTACCTTTGCCTGTGTTTCACTTAACAACAACAATAACATACCACCATCCATTCTTGGTGTCCAAATAATTAATGAAAATGAGTAATAAAAACCAGAAAATGAGTCACAGTGGGATGACTCATAGTAAATATTTCATAGCATAGTTCTCATATGGAGAAAGTCAGATCATTTTTGTTTAACCTCTATTCTAGCCCTAGCATTTGTGAATCACTCCCACTTTTTTGGGAGGGGGCCAGTGGGGAGGGTTCCAGCCTGTGATTTCATTAGTGTAGAGAAGTCCCCATGTGTAATGTCCCCCTATCAATGCAGATAAGCAGGCAACTCACCTGCAATGTGCTCTTTAAGAGTTATCCGGGCCACTGAGAAATTATGTGACTTCCCCACAGTTTCTCAGTTAGTATGTGTCAGAGGAAGTACTTCCACCCAAGTAAAGACTCTAAAGCCAGTCATTTATCCACTCTGTCATGTGGCATCTCTTCTTAAGCACCAAGAAAGCAAAGAGATGAAGGCTTTAATTCTCTTTTCTAGGATACTGAAGTAGAAAATAATCTCCCTGTTGTGTGAAGAAAGTTTTCAAGGAGATCTGATAAAGCATACCATTAAAATAAGCCAAGAATACTTTCAGAACAAAACAGTTGCTTAAATGACAGTTTTAATTAAATGTTTAAATTACAGTTCTAATTAAGTAACTTAGAACTGTAGAATCTTAGAGATGGAAGGAACCTGAGGGGTCTAGCATAACTAACTCTTTGACCAATACATATACATTCCTTCTATACAATCCCTGACAAATGGCCACCAAGCCTTTGCTTAATGGAATGATTTTTCTTTAATTTTTCTGGGTATATTTTTGCAGCCCCTATTTCATTATTTTTTTAATAATATCAGTCAGGCAGCACTATTTTAATTAATTTGCCCTGAATAAGGATGCTGCTGAGAGTAAACGTTTTAGATAACCGTTTTATAGTGAATTTCTTTCTACAAATCTGGGTCATCTTATATTACGTTGAGAATACTTTCATATATCCAGGATAAGTTTTTAAGGTGTTACTGGAACAATTTAAAATGAATATTTAAATTTATTACTAACTGTAAAAGCACTGTTTTGAATCATTTTATAAGCAGTAACAGATGGGTACATGACAAAGTACAACATATAGCAGAAGCTGTATGTATGTAATGTGTATTTTATGTTCTAAACCACTAGGTTAGTAAATCTGTCCAATGGCCTAAATGACTTTTACATCTTCCTTAACACTGAGGTAATAACAAACCTACAATTCAAAACTCCTCCACTAGAGTCAGCCACTGAATTTAAGAATGATTTCCTGAGATGTGCTGATTAATGCTTTTCTTTGAGCTCTAAACAAAGTATGTATTTGATCCCAATGCAAAAAGGCCAGGGAAATACTAAATATTAAAAACAAATGAAAATAGTGACTAGAATTACATAGCGATAGTACCCATTTACCTTCCAAAGAGACCTGGCTTATATATTTTCAAAGAAATATGTGCTAAAGGATTGCCAATGCTACAGGTTCTTTATATAACTTGAAGCCATCTCAATCTTCTTCTTTTCTACATCACAGATGCCTAGACTAAATCCCATAAGAGAGTAAAGGACACGGGTTTAGCTAACTTATTGACCCATTCTCACTAAGTGAAATTATACCACATTTCCTTTTCTCTCCTATGAAGGTTCCTGGCAATGTTTCTATTATAACTGTGGGCTGGCAAGTTTCAGTGGTAAAGTGATTATATATTGCGTTATTGATATTACTGCTTTTAAGTCACTTAAACTTTTGGCAAGATTTTAATATATAGCATTATTGAAGCCTGTGTGAAACAATTTAAAATTCATACTATAAACAGGCTCAAGGAAGAATATCTAAAATCTGCCCAGCCCTTAAATGAATCCCAACTAACACAATTCATATAGTCCAAAAAAATCCTAGGAAGGAAAACAGAAAATACTAAAACAAATATCACTACTTCACTTAAAAATCTCAAAGCACTTCACAAATATTGACTCGGCAGCCCTGCAAATGATTAGGAGCAAATTAATTATTTTCATTTTTATCCTGAAGTGACTGATAGGGTCAGAGACTTAGTGAGCTCTGACTTTGCATCTCAACCATCTTTATCTTTGGAGTAAAATCATTACCCAGTTTATACTTAATTAACATATGTTGACAGACCTTAATGTTTAAATGCTTTTAAGACTTTGCTCTAAAAGATAAAACATAAAAAGTCATAAAATTATAGAGTTCAGTTGAAAGTGCCCTTAGAGATCCTCCAGTCCAATCTCCTCATTTTATATGTGAGGAAAGTGAGTCCCAGAGTTGAAGCAAGTACTAATTCATTGCGGCCTAGAGTAATACAATTTTTTTTTAAACAGTCTGAAAGTAGATGCCATTTATTTACCTGAGAGTGTGCTGGAATCCTCTTCTCTTCTGGCTTTGCTCTTCTGACCTATATCTTCTACCTAAGAGATATATGCAAAAACAAAATCCAAACCTTGTAATTCGATCACTCAAAGTAGTTAAATTAGGAAAAATAACACATTAGGTATTTACCAAAAACATATATTTGGAGAGTAGTACTTTATTCTCCTTTCAGTTGTTGCTACCTGTCACTATCTGTCCCCCCCCCCCCATAATTATCCTATGATGTATAAAGTGGGAACCAATTAATTAAGAGAGGTAGAGCTATTGGTGGAAAGAGTAGAACTGAAACTTTTCTCTTTAGGAAACACAGACAAAATTGTTCCTGTTAACACCAATCCCAACCATCTGCATTATATCTAGACATTTACTGCTGCCAATGACTTTTGGAACTGAAAATTTAGATGCAGATGGCTTTCAGGTAGAAATTTTGCCAAATAGAGGAAAAACAATGTGTGGCTTTCCACAGTCCCTACAGTATTCCTTCCTTCCATTCCTATAATTCAATCACCTTTTGTTTTCTTGATAGGGAGCATTTGGAAGAGAATTCTGGTGTAAGAGCTCCAACCTACAAGGAACACTATGATGTGAATTTAATAAAAAGAGTGAAATTTCTAAAAGCCAGTGACTTTCTGACCAAAGACCTTCTCCAAGCATGGTTATGCTAATAATCCATTGACAGCAGATACATAGCTCCTGGGCCCATATTTAAAGGATTTTCAGTTTAGCAGAACTTACATAGATCTTTGAAAACCCAAGGTCAACTTCCATAACACAAAGTGATGCATCAGAGGAGGGATTTAGTGAAAGTTAAAATTTAATACATAAGCACAAGTCTTACAGGGCACATGTTAATTCAGGAGGTAGTTATCCAAAGTGCCCTCTCTTACTGGGTTACAACCTTTTGGCTGGATTCACTGTTGGATCACACCTCCACCAGGGGCTGCATAGGAGGAGGGAAACTTAAATCTAGCAAACTGCCACTTGTTAGCATCTCTGGCAAAAGGTTGTTAAGGCATAGGGTTAAAAAAAAAAAAAAAAGGCCCAACATGAGGTTTCCAAGTGATTTACTAATTTCAGTTATGCTATGTCAATCCCCTATTACCATGGCCAATCAAGATCTATAAACATGTCTGCACAAATCTCCTTCTACGTAGTAAAGTATTAACAGAAATACGAAAACCCACAGGAAGATTGGTGAATTGGTAGTTACCATGTGTGGGATCTCACAGATCATTTATCACCAGCTGGCCAATGCAAAGGTATCTAACAGCAGGGAAAAGGTTAAGCATTTCTCACTTCAGCTGTAGTTTTGTTCTTTGACCACCAGTTAGCATTTAAAAAGTTCTAAGTAGGCTTTGATGTTTAACACCTCCCTGAGGTTAATAGGGATGATGGAGTTCACACGTTGGTGGTTACCATTGTTTATAGGGAGAAAATTTTCTGCCAGGCGTTGCTTAACAATGGAAGATAGCCACACATTTACGCAGGAATGATCCCCATGGCCAGCAAAGACCATCCAAGGCCTGTGATTTTCATGTTTAATTCCCCTTACCAGCCAAAGGGAGCAGACTTAACCCTTACCAATACAGGGACTCAAAAACTCAGAGCATTGGAGGGCTTGCCATCAAAGGGTAACTATTTTTACCCTACAATGTTGATTTTGGAAGACAGGCTAGTTCTTTGGTTGGCACAAACAAACCCCACTTCGGACACTGCTCTTAAGAATATAGATATCAGCCTAGAATCTGATGCTTCTTTGCTTTTCCACTTCGAATTCTATGAAACATTGCTGTGAAAGAAGCCCAAAGGACAGGAGAACTGAGGTAGGCAAAATTCAGCTGAAGATGACCCTGTGACTGTAGCTTTTAGAAAAGGCTTTCTTCACGGAAGCTAAAATGAGAGAAGAAAACTTCTTGAAAAAATTATTCACCACTTAATCCTAGCAAAATATTTATATCATCTGTACCTGATCGAGCTAACTGAATTGAGAAAACAAATACAGGAAAAATGAATTGTATATTCACCATCATATGGGAAAACACAACTAGAATGTTCCCTGGCATTCCTAACACAAGGTTTATGGATCTCCCTGCATTTATAAACTCGTTGACACGACACTAACCTAATATTTTATACCTTAATTTTTGTTTTCAATCTGAAGATCTCACAGTGCTAAATTTTCCAGCTCTGTACTTTAACCTGAACATCTTGCCAAATTCATTTGTGTCAAGATTGTTATCCTTCTACCAATAGGGCAAGAGCAGATTTCTTCAAAATTCAAAGCACTACTTGTTAAATTTCAGCTAAGCCCTCGGATCCTAGCTTCTGAGGTCATTCATGTTTTATTATTCCTAAGCAACAAGAGCAGCACCTTAGACAACACTTGCCCCCTCCTGCCGGCAGCCAAAGCACCTAAGCCCTGCTGGCACCGAGGCCCAGGTCTGACAAATGTTTCTCAGAATTCAGTTATCCCTCTTGACATTTTAAAAAATCAAACTTGTAACATGATGTAGTGAGACTTAGGCAGGGCAAAGACTCGTGCAGCTGATGGGTAGAAAACGATCGACTGAAAATATTTCTCAAATACAATAAAAATTTCAGAAGCTAAGAATGAGAGGGAGATTATTCAGTGAATTTAAAGGTTCTGACACCTTTCCTTTCCTTCCTACTTCCAAAAGTTCAACTTTTCAATCCTCTGTTAACTTTCTATACTGAAAAACAGAAACCTATGTTTTAGTTAAATTTCTGTAGTTCCAAGATAGAATCACCTTCCCAGTAAGGTGCAATAAATATTAGGTGATAGTAAGTTGACAGATAGTGATATTATTCCCTTTGTCTTACACTTCATAAACTAGACAGAACTAATTAGTATGGAGCACTCTCGAGTGTTTAAAAACAACCATCACCACCACCACCACCACCACCACCACCAGGGAATCAGACTTTAGGTTCAGTAGTTGCTCTACTGGAATGATGGCTGCCTATAATCTGGGTTTCTGCAACAGTCACACGCCTAAGTGCTTCTTTCTGAACTCAAAATGACTGAGCTGAGACTCTTGCTGAAGGTTTCCTAGTTCTACAAGGGATCACCATTTGGATTATTTACCAGAAGACTGTACTGGGGATGAGCAATAAATATAAGGAAAGAAATGTGTGATAATTTGTAATTGCAGACATTTGCAATTAATTAAGAAATTACTGGAAATTAGAATACTAAAGGGCCAAAACAAGGGGGATCAAATGATAACAGACAGTGTTCCTAAAAAATGATTAAAGTTAGAACACAAATCCTTCCCTTTCTCTGTGATTCTTTTCCTTCTCTCCCTCCCTCCCTCCCTCCCTTCCTTCCGTGGAGCTGTGGCTTCACTGGTGTAGGGAATTCTGGATATGGAAACTTTCTCCACTGATGCCATCAGCAGTTGTGTCAGTTGCCTTGGAGACTAAGATAACAACGATAACAACAACAACAAGAACAACAACAACAACTCACATTTATGTGGCCTTTTAAATTTCGAAAAGCAATTTACATACATTTTTTCATTTGAGTTTCACAACACCCTGTGAAATAGGTACTATTATTATACTCATTTTGACAGATGGAGAAACTGAAGCTCGGAGCGCTCAGTCGGTGATTTGCCCAGGGTCACCCAGTCAGTCGGCAGGATTTGAATTTCTGACTTCCAGCCCCAGCATTCCTAACTCCTGAGCCAGACTGCCTCTGAGCTGAAGTGACCTGCCTTTGGTCACGAAGGCAGGATGTGAACCTGGGCTTTCCTGCCTCCTGTCCACCACCCCATGACTTCTCTTAATAGTTTGTCAATTTAATATGTACAAATATTTTGGTAAATGATGTACTCCTGGTTGTAATCACCCTATTCGGTGACTTTGTTTAGCTGTCCTCAGGAATTTAATGTGTGGCAGGTTTGTCTATTTGCTAGCTAGTATCTGCTGTGGCTAAACAAAATGTATCAATAACAAATAACTTTTTTTTTAAAGGAAAGAAGAAATTGTTGGGAAGATATTGTGAGCTTGGCATGCACTAAGTAGAATAAAGGCCATGATCTTAATCAACTCTGGTAGAGCACTGTGGATTAGTTTGAAGACCCATAATGCCCACAGGACCAAGAATTTAAAAAGATACATAAATGTGTATATCTATTTGTATATGTATATGTATATATATATATACATAAAATAAATATATACACACATATATATTTATATATGTACACACATATCCATACACACATATTCATACACATATATGTATATTCGTATGTAAATGTAAATTTGACCATACCTTATAAACAACTTATGATGATCTTTTATAATACTTGGCAGAATGCCTTGTACATAAATAGGCACTTAATGCTTGAATTGAATTATTACAGGAAAAATAAAAATAATGAAAAACTGCTTTGTTCTCTCTAAAAGTTCCCAATCTCATATAGATTGAGCAAAGTGTTCCTGTAGCACATAGAACAAGATGGCAGTCTCACTCTTTTCTTCTCTAGGAAAGTGAAGATAGGGTAGCATTCACCACTGAACTCTTGGAAGCCAACCATTACATACTACTCTAAGTTCTGAAACTACATGTTGATAGACTGAACAATGACAATCTTAGGGATTTAGATAACACTGACTACAATGAACCCATAGGTCATTTATATCAGCAATGTCAAATTCACAGCTAATTTGTAGTTTTCTAATTCAGTAAGTGGTCAGCAGGGATCTGTTTCTATTTGAGTTTGGCACTACTTATCTACATGACTTGGCTTGCACAGTGACTGCTGGACACGTTTACTTGGATGCCACAGAGGCATATGGATGTCTCTGTGTCCAAAATAGAGCTCATTATATTTCTCCTCAAACCCACCCCTCCTCCAAATTTCCTTTTTTCCCCAGTTTAGGGCACCACCCTTCTAGGTTCATAGGTTCTCAACCTTGAGGTCATTCTTAACTCTTCTCCCTCCATTGCTATGCATGTCGAAACAGTTCCCAAGTCTCGTTGATCGTTCCTCCACAATGTCTCTCCCACTTGTCCCCTTCTCTTCACTTACACAGCCTCTACCCTAGTTCAAGTTCTCATAAATTCTCACCTAATCTAGCACGTTAGACTTCTAAATGCTCTCTCTGCTTCTAGTAGCTTTACCCTCTTTCTAATCCATTCTCCACAGAGCTGCCAAGTTATTAGTGCAGAAACACAGAATCTTCATCAAAGAATGCTAGTGTTAACAAGATGGGCTTTTGCTTCAGGGAGAAGCCTGGGATCATTAAAAGCATGGTATGATTTCCCAAGTGCAATCCAGCCTGCTCTCTTTCTTCTATTCATTTCTGGGTCCAGTTCATTGTTTATTTGAAGTGCCTTAACAATGAATATATGAGCTGCCCATCCAACTGTATATCATGATTTGGATAATAAATATTCTTCATATGCTTGGTTTTCCTTTTCCCTTGCCCCTCTGCAACACTTGGACAATTAGGCTGAATGTTTTTGGGGGAAGAAAAACATTTGGGTGGGATCTGAACCTGTGATTGTGAGGAAATCCTTGTGTGGAAAAACTGTGCATCAAAGCAGATTAGAAACTTCCATTTAACTTATGGCCTTTGAGAGTTTCCTTGGGTATTGGGAAGTTAAGTGAGTTGCCCATGGTCACACAGCTAGTGTATGCCAGGGGAAGGACTTGGACCTATGTAATGGTCATTCCAAGGATAGCCCTCAATCTAATTTGTCAGGCTATCTCTCAAATGAAAATTTACCTTATTAAGTAGGCTTTGCAATGGTTCTGGGCTTGGGTCAATGACCACAAACAGGAACATCTGGAGACCTCACTGTCTCTACAGGGAATTCCTTTTCTAAGTGGCTTCTGAGCTGGGAATTGTTCATGACAATGGCAAATCTTTGGTGAGCATAGTTATCCCTATTTTATGCTTTGATACTTATAATCAGGGGCTCCTCACAATCTCTTGTATCTTTCAGGTAATCTGTGATAAGTTTTACATATACACGGAAGACACCTGTTGGAAGAGACGCTTTAAGGTGGTATTTTGTTTTGCCAAATCAAAGGTTTTTGCATAGTTAACAAACAATACAATACATAACAAACAAACAATAACCCTAAGGGGAATCTCATATTTTCTGTACTGTTCAGTCAACTGGGTGACTTTAAAGATGGAGTCTGCTACAGAATATTGCTTGCCTGTCTGTTACCCTTCATATCTTTGTCAAGGATGCCCTTGATATAAGTGTAGATTATTCTCATAAAGATTTTGTAGGGACAGGAGAATTCCTATTCTATATCCCTATAGGGGATCGGGGTTGGTGGCTACTGGTACTGTCTCATTTACTTTCAGTAATAATATCCTTTTTTTGTAAGCATTTGTTATTATCCTCTTTTTTTTCAGATATTTTGAGAGTCAATCTCTCAATGACTCCAAAATTGTGTTGCCTCCATACTGAACACATACTGGACTTAGTCTAGTCCTGATACTTTCCCCCTCTTGGTTTTCTTTAGTGCCACTTCTACTTTCTCATACAGCAAATTGGGGACTTTGATATTCGATTCTTGTAGCAGTGGCTCTGCTGTGATGGGAAGAATAGTTTCCTACATTAACCTTGAACAATCTTTTCCATTTTCCACTTGTTAACTGTACCCCTCGCAATTTCATCTCTAAATGCTCTTGGAATTATTTAGCTTAACTTGATCTTTTCCTAAGCTTCCTATAAATGTCCTTTTTTCCCTCTACTATTCCTTGAGATGATCCTGCCCGCAATTTTCCACCAAGCTTCTCTGTAAGGTTTTATAGAGCTGATACTCTAAGTCACCTCTCCCTTGGACTACTGTAACAGCCTCTTAATTAGTCTCCCAGCTTTCAGTCTTCTCCTTCCCCAAACTATCCTCCACACAGTAATGAAATTTAATATTACTAAGACGCTGGGCTGATGATATCACTACTCAAAAATCTTCACTGGCTCTCTACTAGGATAAAAAAATATAACCATTGTTTTGGTATTTAAAGCTCTCCACAGTCTGGCTCCTATCGACCTTTCCAGATCTATTTCATATTCTTTCTCTTTAAGTACTCAGGTAGAGATACCTCTTAAAATCCCTACCTTCCTTCAAGGATCAGTTCAGGAGTAATTTCCTACAGGAAGCCTTTCCTGCTCGTCTTGGTGGTAAGCAATGTCTCTATATACTGATATCGTAATTCAACAAAAGATTCGATGCAATCCAACAAACATTTATTGTAAGGCAAGATGCTGGGTGGTGAGGGAATTAGACATGTTCTCCACATCCTTAAGGAGCTCACACCAGAGGAAAATACTAATAGCTAGTGTTTATACGGTACTGCGCTGGTTTTTTGTTGTTCAGTTGTTTCAGTTGTGTCTGACTCTCCATGATCTCATTTTGTTTGTTTGTTTGTTTGTTTTTTGTTTTTGGTAAAGATACTGCAGTGGTTTGCCATTTCCTTCTCCAGCTCATCTGACACATGAGGAACTGAGGCAAACAGAGTTAAGTGACTTGCCCAGGATCACACAGCTACTTAAGTGTCTGAGGCCAGATGTGAACTCAGAAAGAGGAGTTTTCCTGACTCTAGGCCTGGCACTCTATTCACTGTGCCACCTAGCTACCCCATTTTACTGTTTACAATGTTCTTTACAAATATCTCATCTGATCTTCACAACAACCCTATTAACCCAATTATTATAATATAATAATAATACTTAATATAATCTATAATTATAGATCAGGAAACTGAGGCTGAGAGAGAGGTTATGTAACCTGCCTAGCATCATGTGGCTAATGTCTGTGGCAGGATTTGAACTCAGGTCTTTCTGACTCTAAGTCTAACACTCTGTCCCGGGCCACCTAGCTGCCTCTAATCTAAAATAAATATTTCAGACACACATATGCTACCTCTTGCTTTGTATTAAAACAAGAAACAAACTATGTCCATGGCAATTATATTCAAAAATGTCATGCTTTCCAATGATACGGTATTCCAGAAAAAGTGGTCTTCCCCATTTGCTTTTAGGGTAGGAGACAAATTCACCTATCATTTCCCATCTAGTGCTCAGCTACTGAACTATCATACTGAGTGAGTTAAAATAATTCAATATGTATTTGAATTAATGTAAAGAAAATCTTTTCCTTCACTCTCAGATATATGCCAGTAACATAAATATACAGATGATATAGTTTCATTTTTGCCTTTGTAAACTAAGTGCTTAGCATAGAGGCTGGCACATAGTTGATAGTAAATGTTTATTGACTGACTGCATGTTACTTGCTAAAGGAAAAATCATCCTTAATATTCATACTGTAGCAGAATTTAGAGAAGAGAATGGAATGTTGCTAAGCACAATGAATTAAACCATCTGAAAGCTATGCTGGATAGCTGGTGGCATTATTTGGGAAGCCTCTGAAGGTTAAACCGGTTCAAGTGAATCTCTAAAATAACTTTAAATCCAAACCTTTGCAGTTCTTCCCTTTCGTAGTTTTAATAATAGAACGTTTAGAATGCTTTGCAAGACCTACATTCAAAATGAAAACTGCGCTTGGTTTTAGTTAGGCACTGCATTAACAATTTCTGAAACATTTACAAGTTTTTAAGGTCATGAAGTAAAAAGCTATATCATGATTTAGACTGAAAATAATGGTGTGTTTGCGCAGTGCTACTATTTGAAAGGATAAAATCATAAACTTGGAGTAATTTGAAAGTCTATAGAGTTAGACTGTCAACAAACTGTTTCAAATTTAGGTTTAAAATGTAGGATGTGAGGTTTTCCATGTATTTAAAGTACAAATTACCGTGTACCCAAGTCAGCTTAACATCTGCATTAAAACCAGATATCATCTGTATTACAGATGTAAGATGTAAAGGATTTGTTTTTATTTCCCAGATTACATTGTAACGCTTTTACACAGCATAAGCCAAGTCACGGAAAAACTCAGAATAGCGTTATTAGTGTGCTGTATTTTATTAGGATTGAGTTAAAAGGACATATGTGTATATGACTATTATGATAGTTTTCTATCGTTTAAATACAAAATTATAACAAAATGGGAAGACTATGTTTAACAGAGTGATAAAAATTAATAAATTATGAAAAAACAAAAAATGTGGAATTTATCTGTGTTTTTACCTTACTGAGGAATGTAAATTAGATATGTATCAATTGTAAGCATGTATGATGCCATTCTATGAATTTATTTTTTACCTGAAGGGCCAGTTTCAAATCTAGAAGTGTAAGGCCCAAGGCCTCTCCATTGGTGTCCTTGGTTGGGATTATGAAACAAAGATGAAAAACGAGGCTGATGTGATCTCTGGAAACTGGAGCCCCATCTTCTGCTTTCTGACTCTATGAGGACATAGATTTATTATATTAACATCTATCAAATGTTATGTTCCAAACTATATATAATGTACAACACAGTCTGGTAAAGCAATATCTGGTAAAGCGATACAATGAAGTAAGTAGGGGAGCCCTACCATTATCAACTAGTTGATCACAGATACCCTAGATATGATTGCTGGAGGTTACACTTCCTCCCTGAAGCTCCCAGAAATTTTCACTGAGGTGAAGAGTGTGGCCAGAAGACATTACATATACTATGGTGACTGCTGTTAGCAGGAAATCTCCACCCCTACCCTTCCCCATGTCTCCACTAGTAGGCCTTCTTTATTGTAGTACCACCTCAGTTCCTTCCATTGCAGGCCTCATGTGAGAGTGCAGAGTAGTGTCTCACTTCCAAAAATTTGGGTATCCTTGTTCTGAAGGATATTAGTGCCTTTATAAAAATTTTAAACGTAGAAATCACTCTTACTATACTTACTAGTTGATATTTGCCTGGCCCTATTATTTCTATGCATCCCATGTACTAAAGGCTTTGGTTATGTTCTTCATTGTTTTATACTGATTCTTCTCTAGCCTTAAAACCTATTGTAACATGATAAGGTAACAAAGAAAAGCAACCCAAGAAGACAAGGGGTTCATCTCAACATATCTCTGAGCAATCTAATTATAAATTATTGAAGCAGCTCCTGGGTATGTGGTACAGTATCTAGCATAGTGTCAAACCAAAGAGGTATTTTAAAAATAAATACTTTTGAGGACAGTGAGGGCTGAGGACAAAAAGCTAACCATTCACACTTGTAAGAGTGTGACTCCACCCATCTCTAGACAGGTAACCATTTCCTCATTCACAGAGAGTAAAATGATGGGATTAAAAGGATTCTTTTCATTCCTGTACTTCTCAAGTCATCTGCCTTTTCTTAACAAGTAGAACAAAATGGTTTCCTAATAAAAAATATCAGAGTGGAAAGTAATTGTGCAACTATGCTATACAAAAGTATGGTTGTTAGTGGACCAAGTACCACCTTGAGAGCTGTACACTGAAAACTCCTATTTCTGGCTAGCTCATTGGAAGTAGAAGAAAAGGTAAGAAGACTCTAATGGACTCTTGGTAGTGGAAAAATAAAGAAATATAACTAAGTGAACTTTCCTCTCCTTGCTCTGAGTTCCTTTTACCAGTTAGAACACCCATTCCTTAACCCTCACTCTCAAGATGAAATTTTTTTTATTGATTTAATAATTCCTACACTCTTTCTCTCTCTCTTTCTCAGGAGACTGAAATTTGCCAGAAGATTGGCCATTCTTAAGTTCTCAAAGTGGCCAGGGAAGTAGGATTTGTGAGAAGTGTTTTTTTAATTTCATCTGTAAAAAGAGAAAGATGGAGCTGCTGTAATTATTGGCATAATAAGTACCTTAATTTCAGAGGAGCCTACAGAAAGAGGTGGGAAGGGCTTTATTTGAATGTTATTTAAAAATTCTATAATTAATGGAAGGTGAATGGTTCCTTTCTGAACATGTTTTACTATAGGACCAGAACTTAACACTAAATCACTAGCTATAGACCTACAATTTTATTTCAGGTCTTTCCTTTAATTTATCAGTCTTTCACTACTATTTTTTTTTCACACCTGAGGGAATTAGAGTTTTTTGGTAATAATTCCTTAAACACTTATTTTAGTGGCAGAGTTAACATCTAACAATGTCAACCTCTGATGAATTCATTCCCTCGCTGTCGGCTTTGAAGAACTCGGTTGTTCTTCATGCAGGCCTTGCAAATGAGCGATTTTAGGTTCTGGAACTCAGTCAGCCAATATTTCTGCAAGAGACAAAGATTTAAATTAATGCTATGCTATGTGTCAAGGTAAGGCACGTCTGATTTAGCAGCTCTGATAGCATATGTTAGTTAAAGTTGCTGCAATGAAAAAGCTAGTACTTGAGTCATGCATTCAAGCTGGTGATTTGCCTCAAGGCAAACCACAACCTGTTCTAGTCCTAGGGACTTTCAGTGCCCTTGATGTTCTGTTCCTGAAGCATTTACTTAGAAAAAAAAGTAGAGTGTTTAAGGCAGGTCTTTGTCCTTTATATTCTCCAAGTGAGGAAGAATAGAAATAGGACCCTGGTTCCACTTTGTTGATGTTTAGAAATGGGGTCATAATTAGGAGAGATGTCTATGTTTAAGACGGATGGCTGGGGACAGTCATATTCTACTGCTAGAGGTAAAATTCTTGATGTAAGACAGACTATAAGAAAAGTATTTGACTAGAATGTTTTCATTAATCAGAAATGAAAGTCAGAAGGAAAAAAAAAGCATAGGATCATCAGATTCATGGGATCATGGTTTTAGAGCTGCAAGAGACCTCATAGGATATCTACCTCTCATTTTAAAGATGAGGAAACTGAGGCTTAGGGAGATTAAATGACCTGTCCAAGGTTAGAAAAGTAGTAAGGATCAGAGGTAGAAATGATTTGAATCTAGGTCTCTGTGCTTCCAGAACTAGGTCTCCTTCCATCATACCAGCATGAATGCACTGTACCAAGATGGCCTTGGGTGTAAAAAAGACTTGAGTTCAAGCTTAACTTAACTATTCAGTTTCTCAATGAAATTCTCTGAGATTCTAAGTTGCAAACCAGCTTCTGACCTACAATGGAAGTTCCTCTTTAGTCTCTCCCTGAACCATAGTACAGTATCAGGGGGAATTCCTCCCAATCAAAGGGTGGTTCCTCCTTTGGACAGTTACTTGGGGTTACTTGGGACTAAAACTATAGCTCATGAGTCCCTACTGATGTGTTAATAGTCATATTTACACATTTAGCTCAAAGGAAAGACATTTACTTAATGAAATATTGGTCAATAAGCATTTATTAAGCATTTACTACATGCGAAGCACTGTGCTAAGGATAGGGGATACAAAGAAAGGTAAAGGACAGTTCTTATCTTTGCAGAGCTCACAATCTGTTGGGGGAGACAAAATGAAATCAGCTTTGCACAAACAAGCTATAAAAGGAAACAAATAGGAAGAGGTAAGGTACTAGAATTAAGAGGGATTAGGGAAGGTAAGATTTTAGCTGAGACTTAAAAGAAACCAGGGAAATCAGGAGGTGGATATGAGGAGAGAGAGCATTCCAGACAATCAGGACACTGAATGAAAATGCCTAGAGTCAAGAGATAGAGTGTCTTTTACTAGAACAGCAAGGAGGCCAGTGTCACTGGATCGAAAAGTACATGCACAATGGAGTATAAGGGATAGGAAGACTAGGAAATGTATGTGTGTAGGGTAGAGCTAGGTTATGAAGAACTTTGAATGCCAAAGAATTCTGTATTTGGTTGGTGATAGAGAGCAATGGGAGTTTACTGGAGGGGGTAGAGTAGGGAGAGATTTGAGGCAAGCCACCAAATTATTGCAATGGTCTAGGCATGAGGAGATGAGGGCCTGCACTAAAACAGTAGCAGTGTCAGAAAGAAGATGGTATATTTAAGAAATGTGGAAAAGGTGAAATTGATAGGCATTGGAAACAGATTGAATGAGGGGAGGGAGGGAGTTGAATGATAGTAAGGAAACAAGGATCTACCTAAGTTGTGAGACTGAGTGACTGGTAGTGTCCCTTAACAATAAGAGAAGTGTGGAAGTGGGGGCGTTTTTGGGCAAAGATAATTGAGTTCAGTTTTGGATATGAGTTTAAGATTATATATATATATATATAATCTACATATAACATACACATACATACATACAGTTTGAGATGTCTAATAGGCAGTTGGAGCTGTGAGACTAGAAGTCAGCAGAGAGGTTAGGGGTGCATATGTAGATTTGTGAAACATCAGCATAGAGATAAATAATTGAATCCACGGGACTTAATGAGATACAGAGTCTTGTGACACTTATGGCAAGTAAGCACAACCTGGATGAAAATTCAGCAAAGGAGCCTGACAAGGATTGATCAGTTAGGTGGGAGAAGAACCAAGAGAGAGTAATGTCCTGAAATCTAGAGAGAAGAGTATCAAGAGAAGAGGATGATCAACAGTGTCAAAGCTGTGGAACGATCAAGAAGTATGAGGAGTGAGAAAAGGCTACTGGGCTATCAATGGCCACATGAAAATATGTTCTAAGTCATGAATAATTAGAGAAATGCAAATTAAAACAACTCTGAGGTACCAATCAGATTGGCAAAGTTGACATAAAGGAAAATGACAAATACTGGAGGGACTGTGGGAAAACCGGCACTGTAATGTACTGCTGGAGCTGTGAACTATTCCGACCATTCTGGAAAGCAGTTTGGAACCATGTCCAAAAAGCTATTCAACTGTACATACTCTGACCTAGGGTATTAGGTCTATATCACAAAGAGACTGAAGAGGAAAAGGACACATATGTACAAAAATATTTATAGCAGTTATTTTTGTGGTAGCAAAAAACTGGGGATGCCCATCAACTGGAGAATGGTTGAATAAATTATGTTCCATGAATGTGATAAAATACTATTGTGCTGTAAGAAATGATGAAGGGAGGGTTTCAGAAAAGCCTATGAAGATTCGTATGAACTGTTGCAAAGTGAAATGAGCAGAACCAGGAGAACATTGTAGACACTAAGAGCCACATTGTAACAATAATCAAATGTGAAAGACTTAGTTGCTCCGATCAATACAATGATCTATGACAACTCCAAAGGACTCATGATGAAGCATGCTATCCACCTCCTGTGTATAGACTGAAACATTCTCTCCTTTCTTCTCTCCTTTCTTCCTTCTTTCTTCACTCTTTCTCTTTCTTAATGTAAGAATTTGTTTTATGTGACTATACATATTTGTAATGAGTTTTATTTCTTCTCAATGGGTAGGGGAGGTAAAGGAGGGGGGCAAAATTCAGAACTCAAAATAAAATTGAATTTAAAGATTAAAAAAAAGCTCCAGTGGAGGAAGAGGAGGAGGAGGAGGAGAAGGAGGAGGAGGAGGAGAAGAAGTAGAAGAAGGAAAAGAAGAAGAAAAGAAGGAAGAGGAAAAGGAGAAGAAGAGAAAGGGCCAATTAAGAGATTATTGGTAATTTTGGAGACAGCAGTTTCAGTTGAATGATGAGGTCAGAACCAGACTACAAAGAGTTAAGAAAAGAGTGAGAGAAGAGGAAATGGAAGAACCCCTTCTAAACAGCCTCTTTAAGAAGTTTAGCAACAAAAGAGATATGGGATGACAGTAGGTATGGAAGGATCAAGTGAGGATTTTTTTGAGGATGGGAAAGACATGGGCATGTTTGTAGGCAGGAGGAATCAGCCAATAGACAGGGAAAGACTGAAGAAAAATGAGAGAGTAGAGATGATAGAAGGGGAAATGTACTGGAGGAAATGGGATGGAATGAGATCATTTGTGCAGGTAGAGAGAGGGGTTTGCCATGGCAAGGAGAAGAACCACCTCTTCATGTGAGAGAGGAATGAAGGAAGAGAAAATGGCAGAAGGTATCTGAGTGATATAGGATGACAAGGAGGGGAGAAGAGAGAGCTCTCTTGGCAAATGGCGTCAATTTTTTTCAATAAAATGAGGCAAGGTTCTCATATGAAAAGGTGGTGGAAGGGGAGTCATGGGAGATTTGAGGAAGGATGAAAAGGTATGGAGAAAATGCTGTGATGAGTGGGGATAGTGAGTTAATTGGCGATATATAATAAAAGGATCATCTAGCAGCAGTGAGGGCCAACCTCAGGTTATGTAACATAAATTTGTAGTGATTCCAGTTGCCACCATTTGTGATTTTTTTCCACCTTCAGTTAGCAGCATGTGTAGACACGAAGGCAACAAAAGGTGAGAGTGATCCAAGGCTAGGCTTGACAGGGCACTATCAGTGATATAAGGGGCCAAAGGACTCAAGAGGGCAGTGTGTAGAGTTGAACTAGTTTACTAAGTGATAAAGATGGGGACAGGAGGAAAGAGTGGCCAGGAAGAGGTGAGGGGCTGGAGAGGACTAAGGGGTCAAAAGGTTGGAAGTTATGGTGTAGACAAAGAGCAGGGTTTAGTAATGGAAGACAGAGGGAGAGGTGGAAAGTCAACAGGTTTTGATCACAAAAGAAAATTTCAGAGTTCATGAAGATTGAGGGGTTATGTTAGTAGGTGATGACAAGATCAAGAGTATGATCACTGTGTGTGTGGCTGAGATGAGGTAGAGGAATAGGGCATGGGAAATGAGTAGACTGAAGAACCAGAAGGTTAGGATGTAAGTTGAAGTGCCTCATATGAGGTCAAGAGTTGGGAAGAAGAAAGATTGTGAACCAGGTACTGAACTCACTGAGGAAGGAAGGGGGAGTGTCCTGGAAGTCTGTAGACAACAGTTATCAGGATTTTGACTGGGTGGTAGATGTGGATTGCATGAACCTCAAGGGAAGAGAGTGATGGTGGTATGGGCAGAGTCTGGAAATGGGGAGCAAGGATTATGCCAACTTCCCCATCTTAACCACCAAGTCAAGGGGAATGAGTGCAAGTGCAGTTAATGCTGTAATGGATAGCCAGGGAGGCTATATCATCAGCAAGGAGCCAGGTCTCTGTGAGAACCAGAAGAAGAAAGGAGTTAGAAAGGAAAAGATTTAAGATGAAAGCAAATTTGTTGCTTATGGAGCAGGCATTTTAGATGGCACAGTGAAAGGGTAAAGTAGTGTTTGATTGCCTCTTTGGGGGGTGTGGGTTGAAGGAAATGGGAGTAAGGAATTGGGTAGTAAGAGATAGGGTTTGGGGTTTGTGTAGTAAGACACATCCCTACAATAAAACTAGGATGTACTCTACCACAAATTACCTAACAACAGTGGCAAGAATGGAGTTTCCTGCATTGATAGAGCTTCCCTACCAGTTTTTTGTTCCCTGCATCAATGAAATCACAGATCTGATATTAAAAACATAAAGTATCAAGCAAGACACAAGTAGAATTTGTTTCTTTCAAAGTGTTTTGCATATAGCATGTGCTCAAAAATTCTTATTAAATAAATTAAAAGTATTTGAGACTATTTAGCTAATTTGGCAGCACAGCCAATGCCTTGGCAATAAGAATCTTCCACTTTGCAATCTGAACAAAGCACAGTTGTTAGCCCTTGTTATTATGCTTATCCTTTGGGAAAAATCAGATTACACAGCGATCTCCCTCCTCTACTTTTTGTGACTAGATCTCTGATTGGGGGTACAGAAGAAATAGCACTGGCCCTAGAGTCAGAGGGGATAAGTGTCAATTCTACTTCTGACACTTATTACCTGTGTGACCTCAGACAATTCACTTAAAGTCTGTGGACCTCATTTTCTTCACCTGTAAAAAATGAGGTGACTAGGTTAGATGACCTCTGTGTAACTTCTCCAAAGGTGAGTTTGATAACATTGGAAGCTGCGCTGGAGGTATATGTATCTTTTGTTTTTTGTTCTTTGTTTTATTTTTGCTAAAAAGGAAGAATTCAAAATATTTGAAAATGTCTAAATAAGACAGCCAGACATTGATGAGCACCATTCACCCTGCCCAACAACAGAATTCTTAATGTCTTGAATACTGTTTAAATATTAGGGCAGAAGCTATCATAGAGAAGCATCTGATATTTCTAGTTTTTATGGAATGATGATTTTATAGTAGCAATGATATTTTAAAAAATAAACCATTATTAAAAGAAAAGTAAACCATTATTTGTATATATGTTATTATTTGTGTATATACTTTTAAAGCTAGGGAATATGATTCTCCTCAAAATAGATGTTTCTAATTCATGTGTTTTGCTTCCTAAAATAATATAAAATACTATTATTTGTGTATATACTATTATTTATTATACTTTTATTTGTGTATATATTTTTAAAGCTAGGGAACAGGATTCTCCTCAAGATGGATGTTTCTAATATATGTGTTTGGTTTCCTAAAGGAATGTAAAATAAAAGGGATTAGACTGCACTGCCTATTCAATGAAGCCTAAGGAGGGTAACCTGGTTTCATTCAATTATAAAATGTGGATATGTGTCACAATGTGGTTGTGCCAACCAAATGAGATAATACAGATAAGAGAACTTGCCTTATAATGCCTAATGTTTGATTCTTGGTTTCTCCATTTATAAAATAAGGTATTTATATTAAGCCTCTAAGTGGGAAAAGTATCTTAAAATTAAGGGGCCAATACCTATTGCTACACTCAGATAAAAGGCTGTGAGTTCTTGTTTTTTTTTTTTTGGCATGTTAAAATATCATTAATGAAACAATAAAGTATCAATCAATTGTGAAAGGCCCAGAGAGTGTGAACTTACATTGCCTTCTAGAAGTTCCTCCACAGAACAGCCTCTGTGTGACTGCTGATACTTCTGCTGAAAAAGTTTCCCATCAAACATCTTCCAAGCCATCAAGTCATCCATTCTGAATGGAAACCCACAGGCACTGTTGGCCAGAATCAAAGTGGTCAGGCCCCGGATGAAGAGAGAGCCAAGCTGCACAGCTCTGGAGTCAACATGGGTAAGCTGTTGAAAAGACACATGGAACAAATTTGTCCTTACTTTGGAACTATAAATTAATTTGCATAAATATTGGCATGACATGTTGACATTATGTTCCAAACAGGTCTGCTCTATAATCTGACAATAATAAAAGATCTTCCAAGGCAAGTAAATGTGATATGTTAAAAGCAGAATTAGGATCCTCTGGGCTTTATGAGTGACTGATTCTGACACCCTTCTATTTCTCTGTACCCCACACCTTTCTAACTTAACCTCCTATTATTGTCCTCCACACACTCTATACTCTAAGTTATTCCTGACCCTGAAACATCAAGAGGTAGTCAGTGTTGAGAGCAGGATTGATCTTGACTGACTGAGGGGTGGATTTGGGAAGAGTCCAAGAATTATCCCAAGTGGCTAGTATACTTATTGCAAAAAGGTTTGAACAAGCACTTAATGGGGAGGAGTAAGGCTCACATGATAGAGATCGAAGTTTCAGATGAGGAAAAGGAAGAGTTACAAACCGCTTTGAAATAATTAACACGTGGAGTAGACCACTGTCCTTTGGAAAAGGAGACTGTAGTCCTGAAATTTAGTATAGAGGAACTAGAAAGTCTATTTGATAAATATTACAGCTATTATAATTTGCATAGGAAGGAGAAAAAAAAGTATGTTGCAGTACGGTTGCTCTGGAAAGTTTTTAGAGTGGGGATTGGAATGGTTAGAATGGCAGTAACATGAAGTGTCTGACTCAGGATCTCCACTGAACCTCATTGAATTAGGAGGGAAATTGATGGCACTCAGGAAAATTAGGCACGGAAAAGACTCTAGGAAGGCCTCAGGTTGGTGAATCCTCTCTGGAGAGAACTCCAAGGATATATTCTTTAATGATGCCTGTTGGAGAGGCGAGAGAGGAAACGGTTGGGGGATGTGTCCTGGGAAAAGGAGCTAAAGGATTGAAGAGAACTAAGTTAAATACGGAGCTGAGAAAGCTTCCAATCTTTCCCTATTGGCTAAGTGGCTCCTTTGCTACTGGCTTCAAGTCTTCCCTATACTTAAAACAAAGCAAAACAAAAAAACCACCTCTTACTAGACACCTACTTACTATCCCCTCCCTCTCACAGCCAAATTCTACCAAAAATGTTTCTATATTCATTGCCTCCACGTCTCCTCTGACTCATTTCTCAACCCTTTGCAATTTGGCTTGTGACTTCATCAGTCAATTAGAAAAGCTGTCCCCAAAGTTACTAATGATTAATTGCCAGATCTTCAGGCCTACTCCCAATCCTCATTCTTCTTGACTTCGTTGCAGGATTTGACACCATTCATCTCTGGGATTCTGCGACATTGCTTTCTCTCTGCTCTCTCCTCAACTGCCCCATAGGCTACTCAAGCTGAACATATCTGAAAACAGAACTTATAACCAGGTTCCACATAGCTGCCGAAGCCCAGTTCAGACCATGTCAGTTCCTCACTCAGTAAATTCCAGTGGTTCTGTATTACCTCTTGGACCAAATAAAAACTCTGACATTTAAATCCCTTCATGACCTGTTCCCAAACTACTTCTCCAAGCTAATTGCATATTATTCCCCTTTATGCACACAATGGGGCAGCTAGGTGGTGCAGGGACAGAGCACTGGGCTTGGAATCAGAAAGACTCATTTTCATGCATTCAAATCTGGCCTCAGAAACTTAACAGCTGTGTGACCCTGGGCAAGTCACTTAACCTTGTTTGCCTCAGTTCCTCATCTGTAAAATGAGCTGGAGAAGAAAATGGCAAACCACTCCAGTATCTTTGCCAAAACAAAACAAAACAAAACAAAACAAAAACCCAAATGGAGTCACAAAGAGTTGGACACAATTGAAATGACTCAACAGCAACATGCATATACTAGTCGAGACAAACTAGCCTTCTTACTGTTTCTTATTATATAGTATTCCATTTTCTCTTTCTGCAATTCCCCTTAATGAAGGAATTATTACAAAACTCAATTTCAATGAAACTATTTTTAAAAATAAAAGAGAATAAATATTAAAGAATAATTTTACATCTATCTATCTACCTATCTATCCACCTAATTATCGTTGGCCCTCGCTATCTCATCCAGACTTGAAGTGCAGAGGCCACTTATGGGCCTGATCCCATTCTGATTGGCATGGGAGCTCTGATCCATTCTGTCTCCAACTGGGGCCAGTTTTCTCCTTCTTAGGCAACCCTAACCCCAATCTCCCTGCTCCCAGGTGTTCACCATATTAATGTCAAACTTAGTATAGACACTTGGTCAGCTTAGCCCACAGCAACTCAGAACTCCAGAGCTCAAGAGATTCATTAGCCTGGTAGCAAGGTTTACAGCCATGCAGCACCATGCCTCATGAAAGAATTTTTTTAACAGTAATTCAATTTAACCAAAATTCCTTGAACACCTATTATGTGTGAGGGACTGTGCTCAAAGGTGTGAAGAAGACACCATTCCTGTCCTCAGGGAACTTATCGTCAAGCAGGGGAAATGAAAAAATAACACAAAAATCTGGAACACAAGGTATAATGCCAAGGTGCAACAAGGAGGGACAAAGTGCTACATTGGTTCAAAGGAGGGAGAACACTTTTAGGGGAGAGTGGGGACTTCTAAAACAAAATTTCTTCTGTAACCTCCACCTTTCCCACAGAGGTAGCCTACTGGCAAGAAACAAAGTCTGGCAATTACTAGAGAGAAAAGATAGAAAACACTTAAATTAAAACAAACAAACATGAATTCACCATAAACTCGTATCACAGTAGACCTAAGAATATAAATGAATTAAAATTCCGTATATGAATTATTAATTGATTACCTAGCAAGCCATATCTTAAGGAAAACAAGTCACTTAACTTTTAACTACAGGATTATACTGACTCAGCTTACAGAACAAGTTACCACTGCTGAGAGGCTATTAAACATAAAAGAACAGGTCCATTGTTATTTCTCCCAAATTTAGAAAATATCATTAAACCATTTTAAGACTTCTTTTATAAGCAATAAAAGGTCATATATATATGTATGTTCCTCATATATGTACATGTATACACACATACAAAATCTACCTAGGTTAGCTAGGAAAAGGATATGAAAGGAAGCAGTCACAAAATCAATCTCAGGAGAACACTTTATAAGAGTGTTAGGACATTTGGACATGAATTTCTTAAGAGCCAAAAAATGGAGTGGGCGGAGTACTACCCTAGATAGGGTTAAAACTTGGGATCTTGGGCCTGCCAACACTTTTTAGGTGCTCTAAGAGTAGGGTTAAGTAAGGGTGTAAATCTGGAAACTGGAGGGAGAAATCCCATTTTCTTCTCAGAAGGAATTGATTTAAATCCAGGAACAAGCAGCGTAAGGAAGGACAAAATTGTGGAAGTGACTACAGGGCTATAAGTCACCTTCTTAGAATGTGTTAGAATAAGTCTTTGGAAATGAATGTAATAAACATCATTTACATAAACTAGCTGAAACTGAGCTACATCATCACTCTCTCTCACATGGTCAGTCTGTGGAAATATTCCATCGACATTTCTTGCAATACTTCATTGAATTCCCATCGTGAATTAGGTCTCACTAATGCAATGAATGTGATGACTCTGTCTTGCCAGGTTGTTAAAAGCTGGCTTCTCAGGGCACCATATTTTTATTTAGTAATTTCCTGGGCCATTTTATTAATCTCATAAGGAGAGTTATCATTTCATTTCCAGAATTATTCAACAAACACATCTCAATATAACATATCTAACTGCCTTTTTTTTCATCCCAAGTTTATGTCTACAATTCACTTCTAAAAAGCAAGGAGTTAAGCACTATCATGTTATAAATACCTTCACTCTCAATGTCAAATTTGTTGTGGCTTTTCGATTCAATGTGCCAACATTTAATAACAGTTGAATGATGAAATGATAAAGCATTTATTAGGTGCTTACAACGTTCCAGGCACTGTGCAAAGATGAAACCAAATACACACATCATAGTGTGCTTCAATTTACACAACCTCCCCCATCCTCACTCATCAGATTTTTATGTCTTAGGTTTTTGTAAAGTGTGGTTCACCTGTACCTAATCCAACTGTAAAGGCTGTTAAATATCATCCATCTGCCAGTGGTTCATAGTCACCTGAATCAAATGGAAGTAATAACAAACCAGCTGCAGACTGCAGGCACAGGTTATCTGCCTGACACACCCTCAAAGTGTACCAGAGCTAAAAACCACATAATTAGCACATATGCCTTGCTCTGCAAAGTGTACTCATTTTGGTGTGTAAGTTTATATGTAAATATTAAAAAAGTATATACATTGTCTAATTTTACAATCCTTCAGTAAAGTCATTTTGGTGATCCTAGATACTCAAAGTCTAAGAAGGCCAAGTGAACATCAGCTTTGGGAGGCCCCACCAAGTTTGTCTGATGAACTCACAGATCCTTGAAGTGCCCAAGTACAATGCAAGTGTTATTTATGAGTTATCTGGGCATGAATCTCTTTAAAACCAAAAAAATAGGACTGAGAGATGCAACATCCTAGATAAGGTTTTAAACTCATGACTTTGGGTTTTCCAAACAAGTTGCTCAGAGCAGTGGCTCTGTGATTTCACTGGTGTTTACGCTCTACCTTCTAACACAGATCACAACCTCCTTATGATTTACTAGATGATCCACAAGGGTTGATGGATATGACCAAAAATTTAATAACTTTGAGACCAACACTGTGATGGCCCTTTCTAAATTTAGGTAGGTTCTCATACACAAGACACAAAGAGTGTTACTTATTGGTCATTTGGGCGTCAATTTCTTTAAAATCAAAAAACAGGGTTGGGAGATGCAACATTCTAGATAAGGTTTCATACTCATGATCTTGGGCTTTCCAAACTGTTTTAGGAGTCCGAGAATGGTAACACTACTGGCCAATTATATCTGAGTCATTTATGATGCATGATGTAGTGGAAAAATCATTGGCTTTGGTGACAGAGGACTTCTGGGTTTTAATCTCAGCTCTTTTATTTAACAC